CCACCCGCCCCTCCCTAGGAGTCCTCTCCACCAGTCCTGGCCCGGGATCCCGGGGTCCCGGGGCCTCAGCGCAGAGAGAGGCTGCTCACTGGACGGGGCAGAAGTCGCCCGATTTGGGGGCCTCGTGCCACGGTGTCCAGGGTCCCCAGAGGCACGTCCAGTTACCAGAGTGGGGTCAGGAGCCCTCAGCTCACTTCCTAGCAGGTGCGTGGAGCTCTCCCGCTTGCCAGGGGTCGCTGTAGCCTAGTAAGTTGGTTTCCATGGGAACGGGGCTGGAGCGTTAACCAGAGGCCACAAGCCCACATAAGGGCCACGCCGTTCACCTTGGCAGTGAAGGCAGCCAGACCACGTGACCTTGCCTTGGCCATGAGTCCCAGGAGCCCCTCTGCACCTGGCTGCTCAGTGGTCAGCCACCCCCCCCCCCGTCTCGGCATGTCACACCTGCTCAGTCCCAGGTGAGGCGGAAGCCCTGGCCTGGGGACAGCAGGGGAAGTGCAGCTGTGCACGGGACAGCAGCCACAGGGGGGATCCAGCTGCCCGTCCCCTGGAGCGTCAGGGCCTCCCGGGACAGCCGTGCGGATCTCCCCAGCCTGGGCCCCAGCCTCTTGAACCTGCACCGCTGCCCCGCCACTGCCAGGTTTGCACTTGTCCCTTCAGATGTCCCCTCTCTCCAGCAGAGCCCTGGCCCTTCTGTCTGGGCGGCCGGGGGACACCTCCACCGCGCACACCTGCCTTCCAGGAGGATAGGCCAGCCTCCCCAGCACAAACCGTGATGTGCATGTGGGGGGCTGCCTGGCCTTCTCGGGGTCACGTTGGTGCTGGGGGTCCCGGCGAAGGCAGCCCTCTGCCAGGGCTCTCCAGAAACCCCCTTGCAGCGGAGCATGTTCTGGCGCTCCGGCCTTGCCCTGGCTAGAATGGACCTGAGTCCTGCTAGGTGTCGGGGGGCTTCTGCCTGCACCCGGCCCACTCCACAGGCCTCCACGGGCTTCCCAGTGCTGACCCAGCTGGCCCAGCACCCCTCCCCAGACCCCAGCCCGGGTTGCGACAGCTCCATCCTCCTGGCTGCTCAGGCCGATGGCCCTGGGTCTCCCCTGGCGCGTCCATCCTCCTCGTGTCCCCTTCTCCGTACGTCTCCCCCATGTGCCCTGTGGCTGGTCTGCTCCACCCGGCCCCTGGGTCTCTCAGAGTGGAAGCCACGGGCCGCCAGTGGCTGGCAGCGTGACCTCCCACACCCTGACCTGGGGCCGGCACTGCTGCAGCCGCTGCTCGCGTCCCCTCCCCAGGCTCTGCCCGTCTGCACGCCTGCACTCGGTATGGCCCCGTGACTGCCCAGTCACTGTCCCCCACTTTTACCCTGTGCTGCCATGAGCGGGAGTCCTGGCACCCAGTAGATGCTTAGTACAGATCTGCTGGATGAGGAGCTTTGATTCAGCACCCAGGGAGAACTGGAGATGGCCAAGGGGTCAGGCTGCACCCACCGCCCTGGCTCCACCCGTGCAGCCCTGCACCCGCCGGCCCCAGGAGGAGGGTCCTGACTCGGCCTGCACCTTCTCCCGATGTGGAGCCTTGAGGGCCAGAGCAGACCTGGCCGCTGGCGAGGGGCTGATAGGTGGGCTCTCGGGAGGGACTCTTGGGGTCCCGATTGCCACGAGGCTCCAGCAGGGCGCCCTGCGGGAGGGCCTGACTGTGCAGAGTCGGAATCAGCCGGGGGGCAGGGCCCGTGGTCCCTGGGGAGACGAGGGGTCAGCAGGGCAGCCTGAGGGGCGGGGGATGCGGCGCTGGCTCCGGCCCCGCGTTCGCGTGTCCGAGGGACGTGGGACAGAGGCCCAGGGAGCGACCCTCGTGAACGGGGCAGACCCGGCTCCCTTCGGAAGCGGCGGCCCCCGAGCCCTGCAGGGTCCCCCGCGCTGCTGCCCCCGCCAGGAGAGCCAAGGGGAGCCTCGGGAAGCTGGGAGGGCAGCCGCACCGGGCAGGCCCTGGCACGGAGGCCGTGACGCCTGCCCGCCGCGCGGGGCTGGGCCCCTGACACTGAGTCACAGGCCTGCGGCTGCCACTTCCTCAGGAGAGCGAGTCTGGGCGGGCAGGCAGGAAGGGCCTGGACTGCAGCCACCCTCCCTGTGACACGCCCGTCCCTGGCCCAGGGATGAGCTTCCCGTCCACAGAGGCAGGCGGCCCTCTGCATCCTGAGCACACCCGAGCTGCCCAGGCATCAGAGGGGCCGTGGCTGAGGCCCCTCCCCCTCGCCGGCCTCTGTCCTCCTAGGGGGTCCAAACGGGGCTGGACAGGAAAGGGCCGTGCCCCTCAACCTGCGTGGGGTCACGGGCCTCTTAATGCTCCAGACAAATGCCCCAGATGGGGACAAACGGTTGGGGAGCAAAGCCCTACCTCTCTGCTCGGCCCCCATCCAAGCGCAGACCAGCCCCACCCCATCATCTGCTGGCCCTGGGAAGCCGCCAACAAGCAGGGGAGGGGTGAGTCCCGCAGGCCCCCGGAAAGGTTCCTTCTGCCGCCTCCGTTAGATAGATCAGAGAGGACGCAAGGCCCTCTCGCAGGCTCGGACCTGCCCCGGGGGTTCTGGGGGCCACAGAGCAGCTCCTGCAAGGGGAGGCAAGGCTCCTGACCCCCACGGCCATCCCCACTCCCGCACGTAGGCCTCGGACCCACGCAGGGAGCAGAGTCTTCACCTCCACCGGCAAGGCCCGGGAGGGGCGGTCAGCAGAGCAGGACCCTGTGTCCCTGCGCCTGGACTCCTCCAGCCTGTCCAATGGGAACCTGGGGCTGGGGCTCCCCCTGCACCCCAGGCACCTGAGGGTCCCTGGCTCCCAGGCTCACTGAGAGCACACCACAGGCATGCTAGCCTCCCCCCTACACCTGGCCACACCAGGGCCTGGGGCTCTGCCTGGCCCCTGGCCCCGGAGTGAGCCCTGGGCGGGCTCGGTGGAGGGAGCTGAGGCTGAGGACGCCTGCCGAGCGCCCTGTGCCCTGCCCACAGCGCCCTGGTTCCTGGGGACTGCACCTCTGTCCCCCAGGGCCCACCCCCGGGACCAGCCAGGGTGACAGCCCAGTGACAGCCCGCTGGGGTGGTTGGCAGGGAGGTGTGGCTGCCCGGCCTGGGATCTAAAAGCTTCCAAGGCAGTTTCAGGCAGCCTGGAACTCCTGGGGCCTAGGTGGAGACTTGAAGGCAGAGGCCTGGGTGACCACTGAGCAGCCTGGAAGGGGGGCAGGCGGCAGGGTAGGGTGGAGGAAGGGGCACTCGGCTTGGGGTGTTGCTGATGGGGTAGGAGAGCATGAAGGACTCAGAGTTTGTGTGGCTGAAGAGGTAGGCCTGGGTCGACGGGCAGGTGGACAACCGCGTGGCCAGGTCGTGAGGGCCCTGGGGGGCATCGGCGGCGGGGCTCAGGCGCCTGCCCCACCAGGAGCTGCAGTCCTCAGAGACGCCGGGCAGCGAGCTCTGTGGATGGAGACCCAGAGTGCCCTGAGGGTCCAGCCCCGTCTGGGGCAACCCACACCCAGTGCTTGCTCCTCCCTCAGCCCAGCAGCATGCCTCCCCCTGGAGCCCCTCCCTGACGGCCCCTCGGCTGCAGACAGCCCCCCAAGGAGGGGTGGAGGCCCGGCCCTGAACCTGAGCCACAGTGGGGTGCGGGATGGGCTGTGGGGGTGTCTGAGAGGCGCAGCGGAGGTGGCTGGGAGGTTTCCCACGAGACCGTCCCCCATGTGGCCCTCCTCGGCCACCCCCCACCCCAGGGGCGGCTGCATCCCGCTGATGGGCCCTGGGACCACCCCCCCCCCCCCCCCCCCCCCCCCCAGCCACAGCCCTGTTTCCCAGCTTCCCGTGACGCAAACCCACACACAGCCACGCACCCCTCCCCCCTCCCCCCTCCCCCCCTGGTGAGGGGCAGCGCGGTGTCGTCTGGGGGCAGGTGCCCCTGATGCCCCCAGGGCGTCGGTGGGGAGCTGCAGGGGCTCGGGTGCCAGGCTTCTCCCCAGAGGGGGCCCCAGCTGGGCGGACAGCACCCTAGTGGGTGGGCCGTCCCCACTGTCCTGGCTGTGCCGGGCAAGGACAGGGTGCAGGGTGTACCCGTGACAGATGAGGGGCCGCGCTGGTCCCACCACACGGAACCTGGGCCCTGCGCCCCCAGGCCCCCTCCCCCAGCTTGCTTCCCTGCAGCCTGCAGCTCCCTCGGCCTGGGACCCTCCCCGCTGCAGAGGGCTCCCTGCGCCAGGCCCGGGGGCCCCAGGTCAGAAGTCGCCTGCCCCTGGGATGCACGTGGGGGTCTCAGGAGCCCCTTGCCACCGTCTGTGCCAGGAGGGTGGGGTGGGGTCTCCGGCCCAGGGTGGGCAGACAGGTGACAGCCTCTCTCTTCTCCCCACGGCAGGAGGTGGGGCCCGAGGCAGCCGAGGCCTCCCAGTCAGCACGATCATCGACGTGGACCGTGTGGCTGGCTCGGCACCTGGGCCGGGCAGCAGCGTCCCGGGGGTGTGGACGGGCCCCCGGAGGTCACGGGCCGGCGGGACCCTGACATCAGACCGCCCCGGCCTGAGCCCCGTCCTGGGGGGACCTGCCAAGCCCAAGGCCGGCCCACACCACGCCACCTTCGTCTGAGGCTGCCGCCCGTGCACCAGACCTTGCCTGCCGGCCCTCCCTCCCGACCCGGCGTCCCAGCCGCCTGCCTGGACACACACTTGGAGAGCAGAGATCCCGAGGGGGCAGCTGAGCCTATCTCGAGGGCCTCGGACGGGCCTCCTCAGCCACCCCTGGGGGCCGAACCAGCAGAGGGCGGGGAGGGTCCTGGCCCCGGACACTCGCCAGCGTTGGCTCAGGGCTCCCCGGCCCCTGCCCCAGCTCCCGCTCGGCGTCCAGCCTTCCCACAATAAAGCGTCTTTGAGGACCGGATCGTCGGCCTCGTGCCTGGTCCTGGGGCCTGGACCCTGCCCTCAGGGAGCCGTTGTTCCCGTGGCCCTGTGCGTGTATCGGCAGGGGGCTGGGGAGAACCGGCTCTCGGGGGTGAGGTCGGAGGTGAGCAGGGAAATAAGGCTGGCCTCGCGCAGCGCGAGGCTTAGCCTGTGGGCAGTGGGACGTGGTCCTGCCCCGTCCAGGGCCCTGGTCTTGTCCATGTCACAGCGCCTCGTGCAGCTCGGTGCAGGGTCTCCTCTTGGGGTGGCCGCCGGTGGGGGCAGAGCTTGGCCTGGGGACCCTTCAGGCCACTCTGACCCAATCTCCCGCCCTTGGCCTCATTTAGGGAGGTGGTCTGGCAGGGCCTGTCTGTGGAGGGACCACCTCAGGGGAAGCCTGACTGCCCTGCCCAGAAGGCCTGGGACAGAGCGTCAGCCTGTGCAGAGGTCCTGAGGCTTGAGCGAGCCGGGAGGGGACGGGGTAGCAGGCCAGGCCAGTGGGCAGGGCTGCCGTGTGACGCTGGGTGGGCAGGGCAGATAGAGACGGCGCCATCAGCCAGGTGCCTCGGCGGAACCCTGGCGCTGAGCAGCTGAGGGGCCCCCGGCAACCCTCCCTCCTCCGAGATGCATGTCAGGTTTGTCAGAAGGGCCCTAGGCCTGAGTGCGCCCTGGGCCGCTGGGCTGCTCTGGACGCTCCCAGGGAGCTGTGCTCTGAGCTGGGGGTGCCCGCGTGGAAGAGAGGGCCCGGCACCCACCACGTGCCAAGCTGGATACTCACTCGGTTTCTGCTCTCGCTCCGTCTGCACAGAGGGGAAAACGGGGGCCCAGAGAGAGTGCGATTTGGGGGTGCACAGTGAGACAGCTGCAGTGCCAGGCCCATCCCCAGGCCAGCCCTTCTCTCTGCCCCGAGCAGGCAGCTGAGCTGACTCACGGGGACCGGGCCACCCCCCGCCCACCACCACCATCACCACCACCACCACCACCCCCGCCGCCTCTGCGGCCCCTCAAATTGCAGAAGAGCTTCCCGTGGCAGCTCTGCCTGCAGCTGCAGTCACAAACCAGGGGCCAGCTGGGGCGACAACTGTGGCCGCGTTTGGGGGGCAACACCCCAGTGTCCGTTCACAGACCTGGGCAGGACCCCAAGCCAGGTCTCTGTGGCCCTGGTGCCTGGCCGGGGCTTGGGATGGGAAGGAGGGCAGCCCTGGATAGAGGCGGGATGGCACGGGTGGTCCCGGCTACGAGGGGAAGCCCAGGGGCGAGAGGGCTTCCTGAGGGGGTGCCCCAGCGGGTCCAGGAGCAGTGGGGGCGGGGAGCTAGGACAGCAGGCAGGGGCTCTGGTATTGCCCACCTCCTCCGCTCCACTCCCCCTCCCCCCGGAGGCCCCACCCCAGGCTTGTCCTGGGAGGCACGGGCAGAAGTGCTGTAGAGAAGGGCGGCAGAGGTCCCTGTCCCAGGGGCCATTGTGTGCAGCGGTGCACACACCCTCCTCTCTGTGCCTGGCCTCTTGCTGGCCAGGGGCCACATCCCATGCTCCAGGCCTGGGCCCTCAAAAGGGCTCAGCATGTGTAGGTGCTCTGGTTAGTATAGCTCACAGATAGACAGTGGCCAGCCCTGTGGCCAGGTAGGGACCGGAAGCTGGGGCTGTGGGGGTCCAGGCCCCTTCCTGCCGTGTCATCCTGGAAGACTTCCTGGAGGAGGCATCGTAGCTGAGACTCGAGGACATTGTGAGGTCCAGGACCAGCATGGCTGAGGCCAGAGGGGACGGCTGGCTCAGGCAGGGTGAGCTGGGCAGGAGACATGGGGGATGTGTAGGCCTGGCACGGGAGGCAGCCAGGGTTAATCATTTCCAGGCGGCCTTGACCCCCACCTGCCCTGGCCACTCTGCTCCCGCCTCCTGCTGCTCCTCACGCCAGCCCAGGAGGAGCCATGAGGCGCTGGGCCTGGGTCCCCAGCCCCTGCCCCCAACTTGGGCTGCCCCTGCTCCTGCTGCTGCTGCTGCTGGTGCCTCGAGGGGCTCAGCCCCAGGCTGGCAGGGTGAGCACTGACCCCAAGGCACTGTGATCATGGGCTCTCCGTGCCCACTCTGGGTCCTGGGGCTGAGGCCAGGGCAGGGTGAGGGGTGGGTGAAGGGCCCAGCGTGGCGACAGCCAGCCTTCCGGGGGTGAGGTGGGCGTGCTGGGCTGGCCTGGGGGACGGGGGACCTGGGGATCCAACCTGCTGGCCCCCACCCAAGGGCATGGAGACTGTTCGCCTCTCTGGGCCTCTGCTGGGTCCACGTGTTTGAGGTGGGGGCGGGGGGGGGGCCTCTGAAGGCCTCGCAGCTGCTCTCGTCCGTCCCCCAGAACAGACCCCCAGGGTTCGAGCGTGGAGAGCAGTGGTGCCAGCCTGGCAGACCCTGAGCCAGCTCAGCCTGACTCCTTGGACTCGGTGGGAGGGGAGGGGACAGGGTCCAGCTGAGGCCATGGGAGAGCCAGTGTCCCCTGGGCCCTACTCCAAGACCTCAGGAAACTCAGTTTCCCAATATGGAAACTGAGTCAGGGCCTGAGTGTGAGCGGGGTCCATCCCACACCAACCCCATCACAGGCCTCTCGGCTCTTCCTAGAACCCAACGGAACCCCCAGAATGTAACGCCACAGTGACCCCTGGGACTCCCGCGATCCCCGTAACCTCGGTGACCCCCAGGACCCCAGCCACAGCCACAGCGCCCAAGGCAGAGGGACCCCATGGTGGAGGGCTTACCCACCTGCCCAGGGCAGCCCCCTCCAGTAGCAGCCCTGGGGGCACAGGTGGGTCAGCGAAGGCTTCTTGGAGGTGGCAGGCTACACCTAGATGGGGGGTCTGGAAGAACACAGCAGCACTTAGGGAGTGGGGTATGTGATGGGGGTTGGGAGGTGACGAGCGCGGGAGCCCTTGACCCCTGTGTCTCCTGTAGCAGTGCTCACCGAGGCCGGGCAGCCCTGCAGGTTCCCCTTCCGCTATGGCGGCCGCATGGTCCACTCCTGCACTACAGAGGGAAGTGCCCACAGGAAGTGGTGGGTCCCAGTCCCCGTGCCCCGTGCCCGCCCTGGAGACGCTTCCGCTCCCTGCCCTCCGTACTCCACACTGAGCCTGGCACACAGCAGATGTAGTGAATGAATGAATGAGGGAGTGAATGGGAGAGAGCCCCAGAGTGGTCAGCGTGGGTCCCTGTGTGGGTTGGGGTTAGGGTGGGCGGGTCTCTGGCCTGGGACCCCCACGTCACCGCATGCGTCACCCCCAGGTGTGCCACGACTCACAACTATGACCGGGACAGGGCCTGGGGCTACTGTGTGCAGGCTTCCACTCCCCGGGAGGGCTCAGGTGGGTGCCGGGGGTCTGGGCCTGAGCGCAAGCTAGGAGGGGGCTGGGCCGGGGGTGCCGGTGAGCTTGAGGGGCGTCAGAGCTGACCGGGGGCTGGGGTCCTGCCTGGTGTGCAGGAGGGGGCTTCGGGGTTCATCCCACTGCAGGCCTCGGGGCCTGCAGGAGTTGGGAGTGGGGAACACTCTGCCCCGCAGATCCTGCCCTCTCGGGGCGGGGGGCGGGGGGCCACATAACTGCTTTGGCCATTGCTGGGGGTCATAGCGCCCCCTGGTGGTCAGGCTGGGCCCTGCGGCTGCACAGGAACAGCCCTGGACGTGGAGGGGGCCCAAGGGGTCCGCAGGGTGTGGTGCTGGCAGCCCCGCTTACAAGGGTCCCAGGGCACACGGAAGAGGACTGCGCTGCCTGATGGGGGTCGGGCTTTCAGGGTGCTGGATGCAGAGCCAGAGGCCCACTTGCCCAGGGTCTGAGAGCTGGGCAGAGGATGTGGTGAGGAGGCGGAAGGCCTGCGCTCACTTCCAGGGCATGTACACACCACGGAACTCAGGAGGGGCATCTTTAAGGGGGCGGGCTCTTGGCAATCGGGGAGAGTCACGGCGTGGGGAGGGGGTTACGAGGCCCGGCCGGGCTCTCAGACACACCCCTCCCTGCTGCATGTGCCCAGCTGCCCTGGATCCCTGTGCCTCTGGCCCCTGCCTCAACGGGGGCTCGTGCTCCAGCACCCAGGACCCTGAGTCGTACCACTGCACCTGCCCCGTGGCCTTCACTGGCAAGGACTGCGGCACAGGTGAGCAGGGTAGGGGGCTGCAGGGCAGGGAGGCGCCTGCCGCAGGCGCCAGGAGCAGTGGCTCACTGTGCCGCCCCCAGAGAAATGCTTTGACGAGAGCCGCTACGAGTACCTGGAGGTGGGCGATCGCTGGGCCCGCGTGCACCGGGGCCGAGTGGAACAGTGCGAGTGTGCGGGGGGCCAGGTCCAATGCCAGGGCACCCACCACACAGGTACGGGGGTGCGGGCCGTATCGCTGGGCCTCCCACTAGGGGAAGGCGCTCGTCCAGGGCCACCCAGAGACGGGCACCGGGTGGGAACCAGGCCCTGCCCCTGCCCCTCGAGGCCCAGCTTCTGAGCCCTCCCCCCAGTTTGTCTGAGCAGCCCCTGCTTGAACGGGGGCACCTGTCATCTGATCGTGGCCACCGGGACCACCGTATGCGCCTGCCCCCCAGACCACGCCGGGCGGCTCTGCAACATTGGTGAGTCGCTCGACTTCAGAGCTGCGTGGCCCCGCATCCTGGGGCCCAGGCTCACCGCGCACCGTGCCGCCCGCAGTGCCGGCCCAGCCCTGCTTCGTGGGGAGTGGCACCGAGTACCGAGGCGTGGCCAGCACGGCGGCCTCGGGCCTCAGCTGCCTGGCCTGGAACTCCGACCTGCTCTACCAGGAGCTGCACGTGGACTCTGTGGGCGCCGCGGCCCTCCTCGGCCTGGGGCCCCACGCCTACTGCCGGTCAGCACTGGGCGGGCAGGGCCTGTCCCTGGGTCCTGACCCCTCAGCTTGGGAGGCTGCGCGGCGAGAAGAGCCCAGGGCCAGGGATCGGAACCACCTGCAGAAGGGGCCAAAGGCTGTGGGGTGGGGGTGGGCAGAGTGCCAGGAGCCGCACCCAGCTAGGGGTCCCCAGCTCTCTCCTCCCACCCGTCACTGAGGGGCCGTGACTGACTCCCCTGCCCACCCGCTTCTCCCTGCACCCCAGGAACCCGGACAAGGACGAGAGGCCCTGGTGCTACGTGGTGAAGGACAGCACGCTCTCCTGGGAGTACTGCCGCCTGGCAGCCTGCGGTGCGCGCAGCTAGTGGCTGGGTCGGAAGCAGCAGGGTGGGGGCAGCGCTGGCCCTGCCCCGCTGAGATCACCGTGGCTTCCCCGTGGCCCAACCCACATCACCCGCATGCCAGGCCTCCTCTCTCCGGAGGACCACGGCCCCATCAGAGAGATGGGGAAACTGAGGCTCACCAGAGCAGGGCTGGTCCAAGGCCACGCAGTGTGTTGGCACCAGAGGTCAGAGCAGGCGAGCTGGTCACCGGGTCCTCTGGGTGGTCCAGCCAGGCTGCACTGTGCCAGGACGGTCCCCAGAGACAGGGAAGTGTGGGTGCATGTGGATAATGTGAGTACCCTGGAGTCAGACCCTGGGAGTGGGCTGCTCCATGGGGCCAGCCCACCCCCTGGCCCTGTGCTCCAGGCCTCTCTGACCATCCCGAGTTGGCTCTGGGGTCCCAGGCTGCTGGGAAGGATATGAATACCTGCCAGGTGTGCCAGGCCACCCTGGTTCCCACAAAGCCTTGTGACTGGGTACGGTTCTCCCCATCCTGCAGATGAGGAAACTGAGGCTCAGAGTAAGTCATGTGCCCACAGGGGCAGAGCTGGGGACCCTCTTTCAGACGAGCTGCCTAGGCTGGGTCAGGAGGCAGGTGAACCGCAGGGGCCCTGAGGATGGTGGACGCAGCCAGGACCCTCTCTGGCCTGGGGTGTGCAGAAGGGACCCGGGGTGTGTGAGCGGGTAACCTGTGTTCCCAGAATCCCTCGCCAGAATTCAGCCCCCGCCCACCGAGGCCCTGCTGAGCCTGCCTGGGCCTGCGGTAGCCGGACCAGCCGGACGCCAGACCTGTGGCAAGAGGCACAAGAAGAGGAGCTTTCTACGGCCACGCATCGTCGGTGGCTCGTCCTCGCTGCCCGGCTCCCACCCCTGGCTGGCCGCCATCTACATCGGGAACAGCTTCTGTGCCGGGAGCCTTGTCCACACCTGCTGGGTGGTGTCTGCCGCCCACTGTTTCTCCAACAGGTGAGCGGCTCTGGCCCCAGCGTCCACGACCCCCTGCGCCATCCCTCAAGCCGTCCACCTCTCCACCCACCGCTATCTAGGCCTCCGCCCCCCCAGCCGGCCATACACCCATCATCCACTCTCCACCCGCCACCCATCTACGCACCCACCCGCCTGTCCTAACCATCACCCATGTGTCCCCACGTTTCGCCACCTACCCGTGTAAACCCCGTCCTTTGGTCCCTCCGTTCCCCGTTGCCCCTCTGACTCAGGTGGGACTCAGCGCTCAGCCCAGTGCTGGGCATGGAGACTGCCGAGACCCGCCCCATTCCTGCCCCGGGGTGCTGTCTCTGTCCCTGTCCCTGCCCATGTGGCCGCCCAGCCCTGTTCCTCGCCCCGGGAGCTCCAGGTCTCCCCGCTCAGGGAGGGGCGGGGCGGGGCGGCCAGCGCGTGCGCGGCAGGGTGGTGGGTGCGGCCCGTGCCTCGCAGGGCCCGCCCCTTCCGGCCCCGCCCCCCCGGCCCAGACCGAGCTGGTGGCACCGTGGGGCGCCGGGAGCCCGAGGCCCCGCCCACTCGGCGGGCTCCCAGAGCGGAGGGCCGGCTGGGGCTGGCGGCTGGGGAAGGGTCAGGGGTGCGAGGCCCACTACCACACCCCAGGGTGGGGGGGCAGCGAGCCCAGAGCAAGAAAGGCCAGCCCGTCCCCCGCTCCTCACGGCTGTGATGGGAACAAGGCTCTGCTGTGGGGAGTGGGGGGCTCTCTCTGCGGGGGGTGGGGTTCAGTGGGAGGGAACGGGTCTGACAGTGGTATCCCAGGGAGTGGGACGTGAGCGGGGGCTGGGGGCTTGGCAGCGTGAGAGTCCGACGGTGAGTCCCCATCAGTCACCCCAGGGACTACAGTGTAGGAGTGGGGGGCAGTGGGCATACGTCCTGCCCTGTGCTGACCGCTGTGTGACCTGTGAAACAGGACCCCTGTGGTCTCCCCAGTATGGATGGGATGGGGGTGGTTAAGAGGCTGGAGAAGGGGAGCAGGCATCCTCTGCTCACGTCCAGGGAGGGGCTGGGGAGGGCCAAGCTGGATGGAGGGGCCCGTCCCCTGTGGGCTGGACCCCAGCACCCTGGTCCCTGGCCTGAGCCAAGCAGGGCTGGTGGAGGTGGGTGGGACAGGGCATTCGTGTGCAGGTGCGGGGGGTGAGGGGGAGTACTCTGGCTCCTGGCCCCACGGGTGACTTCACAGGAGGCCTGCCCCTGTAGCAGGGCCGTGGGGCAGAACCGGTGCCCAGAGCAGGGGTCCGCAGCAACGCGGGCGCATGTCAGCGCAGACCCCACCTGGACCTGCACAAGGCCCCCCAGGGTCACTCATGCCGCTTGCCTTAGAGGCGGTGCTGCCGGGACGGGGGCTGTGGCCCTAGCTCCCCACTCCCTACCGCACTACGGCCCACAGCCCGGCCCCTGCTCAGGTCTCTCCCAGGGTCTGGTGGGGGCGGGGGCCCTGCACGGCGTCACTCTCGTGGGGTCGTCTACCGGATGCTCTGTCCCCGTGGGTAAGGGGCGAGCTGACCTCAGGGGCCCGAGAGTCATGCTGCCACCAGCTCCCACTGCACAGCCCCCCCAGGGAAAGTGTCTCTGTGGTCCTCGGCCAACATTTCTTCAACCGCACGACGGCCGTGACGCAGACGTTCGGCATAGAGAAATACATCCCGTACCCGCTGTACTCAGTGTTCAACCCCAGCGACCACGACCTCGGTGAGGCTCGGGACCGTGCTGTGTGCTCTGCGCGCACCCAGGGCCAGAGCCAGGAGAGAGGCGGGGCGTGGGTGCCAGGCAGGGGAGGGGCCTCGGACACTCAAGGGACGGGTGGGAGGGAGGGGGAGGGGCAGGAGAGACAGAGCGGGGAAGGGCGGGGGCAGGGCAGCAGGAGCAGCTGGCGTGGCCGAGCGGCCTCGGCGCGGCTGGAGGAAACCCTGGCCGGCCAGCCTTGCTGGTCCTCCTGTCGCCTCCTGGGCCTCCCAGGCCGCAGCCCCTCTGCCCGGCGGGGCTGGGCCCCGTGTGACTCGGCAGCCACCTTCGGCCCCTCGTGAGCCCCCACGCCGCAGGCTGACCCCCGGCCTCTCTCCCGTCCAGTTCTGATCCGGCTGGAGAAGAATGGGGAGCGCTGTGCTGTCCGCTCCCAGTTCGTCCAGCCCATCTGCCTGCCTGAGCCTGGCAGCACCTTCCCCGCTGGGCACAAGTGCCAGATTGCGGGCTGGGGCCACCAGGATGAGAGTGAGTGGGGTGGGCGCAAGGGGCCAGCGTCGTGCCCCCCGGGAGCAGCGGCCCGGCCCTGCAAGCCTCGCCCAGGCTGAGTGCCCCCTGTCGGCCGTCAGATGTGAGTGGCTACTCCGGCTTGCTGCGGGAGGCCCTGGTCCCCTTGGTTGCCGACCACAAGTGCAGCAGCCCGGAGGTGTACGGGGCAGACATCAGCCCCAACATGCTGTGCGCCGGCTACTTCGACTGCAGGTCTGACGCCTGCCAGGTGAGCCGGGACGGCCACCCCGGGAGCTCAGAGCCGAGAGGGGCCGACCCGCGGGGCCGGCCAGGAGCCCGGGCAGAAGGCCCACCTCCTGGTCGGTGGCACCCCCAGGATGGGCGCTCACTATTGCTGGAGGCCCAGGGGCCAGGAGTGGGGTCCCTGCTCACGGGAGGCGGGGATTGAGGCCCGGGAGGGGCCGGGTCCCAAAGCCTAGGCTCGTGCCAGCTGTCCAGCCAAGGGCAGGGCTGTCCACGTGACGTCAAAGGCCAAACCCCTTTTCACCCAGAGTTCTCCCAAATGGGCTCAAGCGATCGGCCAATCCCAGTGTGTCCCGTTTATCAAGGGCTCCTCGGGGCCGCACATCAGTGCTGAGTTGGAGGAACTGCTTTACTCCCCATTTTTATAGGTGGGGAGACTGAGGCCCAGAGAGGTCTGCTCACTCCTCCCAGGTCACACAACTCACAGGTGGCAAAGGGTGGGGGCTCGGCACTCAACCACGTGGTACAGCAAGCGCCCTGGGGGAAGTCAGGGGTGGCTTCATGGAGGAAGGGGCGCTGGTACTTGTCCCAGGGGGTGAATAGGGCTTTGCCAGGTGGCAAAGAGAGTGTTTCCAGCTGGGAATATCCTCTGCCTACCGCGGGGCCGCCTGGTGCACGTGGGTGCGTGCTGGTGGGCGGAGGGGGGACCCAGATGGAGGAGGGCTCTGCTGGCTGTGGAGGCAAGAGGGGCCGCAGCAGCCCACTACTGGGAGGGTGCCCTGCCTGTGCGGTTGGGGGAAGGGGGGCAGCCCCCTTACTTGGAATACCCATGTCATCTGTGCCCAAGCTCTCGGGGAGCCCACCTCAAGGGTTGACCCCTCTGGAGGCATGTTCCAGGTTGGGGGGAGGGAGCCTGGGGTGAGGGGGGCGGGGGCAGGGCAGCAGGAGCAGCTGGCGTGGCCGAGCGGCCTCGGCGCGGCTGGAGGAAACCCTGGCCGGCCAGCCTTGCTGGTCCTCCTGTCGCCTCCTGGGCCTCCCAGGCCGCAGCCCCTCTGCCCGGCGGGGCTGGGCCCCGTGTGACTCGGCAGCCACCTTCGGCCCCTCGTGAGCCCCCACGCCGCAGGCTGACCCCCGGCCTCTCTCCCGTCCAGTTCTGATCCGGCTGGAGAAGAATGGGGAGCGCTGTGCTGTCCGCTCCCAGTTCGTCCAGCCCATCTGCCTGCCTGAGCCTGGCAGCACCTTCCCCGCTGGGCACAAGTGCCAGATTGCGGGCTGGGGCCACCAGGATGAGAGTGAGTGGGGTGGGCGCAAGGGGCCAGCGTCGTGCCCCCCGGGAGCAGCGGCCCGGCCCTGCAAGCCTCGCCCAGGCTGAGTGCCCCCTGTCGGCCGTCAGATGTGAGTGGCTACTCCGGCTTGCTGCGGGAGGCCCTGGTCCCCTTGGTTGCCGACCACAAGTGCAGCAGCCCGGAGGTGTACGGGGCAGACATCAGCCCCAACATGCTGTGCGCCGGCTACTTCGACTGCAGGTCTGACGCCTGCCAGGTGAGCCGGGACGGCCACCCCGGGAGCTCAGAGCCGAGAGGGGCCGACCCGCGGGGCCGGCCAGGAGCCCGGGCAGAAGGCCCACCTCCTGGTCGGTGGCACCCCCAGGATGGGCGCTCACTATTGCTGGAGGCCCAGGGGCCAGGAGTGGGGTCCCTGCTCACGGGAGGCGGGGATTGAGGCCCGGGAGGGGCCGGGTCCCAAAGCCTAGGCTCGTGCCAGCTGTCCAGCCAAGGGCAGGGCTGTCCACGTGACGTCAAAGGCCAAACCCCTTTTCACCCAGAGTTCTCCCAAATGGGCTCAAGCGATCGGCCAATCCCAGTGTGTCCCGTTTATCAAGGGCTCCTCGGGGCCGCACATCAGTGCTGAGTTGGAGGAACTGCTTTACTCCCCATTTTTATAGGTGGGGAGACTGAGGCCCAGAGAGGTCTGCTCACTCCTCCCAGGTCACACAACTCACAGGTGGCAAAGGGTGGGGGCTCGGCACTCAACCACGTGGTACAGCAAGCGCCCTGGGGGAAGTCAGGGGTGGCTTCATGGAGGAAGGGGCGCTGGTACTTGTCCCAGGGGGTGAATAGGGCTTTGCCAGGTGGCAAAGAGAGTGTTTCCAGCTGGGAATATCCTCTGCCTACCGCGGGGCCGCCTGGTGCACGTGGGTGCGTGCTGGTGGGCGGAGGGGGGACCCAGATGGAGGAGGGCTCTGCTGGCTGTGGAGGCAAGAGGGGCCGCAGCAGCCCACTACTGGGAGGGTGCCCTGCCTGTGCGGTTGGGGGAAGGGGGGCAGCCCCCTTACTTGGAATACCCATGTCATCTGTGCCCAAGCTCTCGGGGAGCCCACCTCAAGGGTTGACCCCTCTGGAGGCATGTTCCAGGTTGGGGGGAGGGAGCCTGGGGTGAGGGGGTGGTGGACTGTTTCATGGGTGTCGAGGAGCTGAGCCGTGAGTCTCCTGAGCCAGGCCCCAGGCTCTGACCGGCCGCTCTGCGCAGGGGGACTCAGGCGGGCCCCTGGCCTGCGAGAAGAACGGCGTGGCCTACCTGTACGGCCTCATCAGCTGGGGTGATGGCTGCGGGCAGTTCAACAAGCCCGGCGTCTACACCCGCGTGGCCAGTTACGTGGACTGGATCAGCGACCGGATTCGGCCCCCCAAGCGGCCTGTGAATCCCTCCTGAGACCACCCCTGGGGACATCGTGCCTCTTGCCATTCCCTCCTCACTGGCAATAAACATGTTCCCAAAAAGACCCCGGCCCACACTGCCTGTCCCGCTGCTGCCAGCTCAGCCTTCCCCGCCCCCAGGCCGTGACCCCCGACCCAGCTTTGTAGGTGCTGGGGCCCCAAGCCAGCAGCCCCGCTGCTCAGAGGAGAAGGGAGCCTGTGGCCCCCCAGGGAGGGTCTGGCCCCATGGCCTGGGCAGTCAGGACGGGGATCCAGACTAGGCCTTCTCCAGAGCAAGAGCTGTGCCTACAGCCAGACCCGACTCAGACCCGCCCCCAGGCAAGTGGGGCTTGCGCCCGGGCACCTTGCGCTGTCCCACGGCAGCGGATGCTAGAACTTAAGACAGGTCATTTGGGAAAACCCCTAGCTATCATTTTGCTTCAAGAAGGCAGCCCGCCCGACTGCAGCTCTCCCTCAGCCGTGTTTTCTAGGCGGGGAAAACTGGAGACTTCCTCTGAAGGAAACCAGGGGAAGGGAGGAACCCAAATGCCAGGGTGAGTGGAGGGTAGTGGGTTGCGCCAGCCAGGCAAGACACTGTGGGCACGCAATCTGAGATGCCCGGAGGGCCCAGAATCCTGGGCCAGAGGAAGCAACACATGCAAAGGTCCTGAGACAGGAGGCTGATAGTGGCTTTTTTTTTTAATATATAAATTTGTTTATTTGTTTATTTATGTATTTATTGGCTGTGTTGGGTCTCCGTTGCTGCGCGTGGGCTTCCTCTGGTTGCAGCGAGCGGGGGCTGCTCTTCGTCACGGAGCACGGGCTCTAGGCGCGTGGGCTTCAGTAGTTGTGGCACGCGGGCTCAGTAGTTGTGGCTCGCGGGCTCTAGAGCGCAGGCCCAGCAGTTGTGGTGCACGGGCTTAGTTGCTCCGCGGCATGTGGGATCTTCCCGGACCAGGGCTCGAACGCATGTCCCCTGCATTGACAGGTGGACTCTTAACCACTGTGCCACCGGGGAAGCCCCTGTTAGTGGCTTATTTGAATCAAAGTAAGGAAGTGTGGCTGAGGCCAAAGAGGATGGGATTGTGTGTGTGTGTGGGGGGGGTGGCCTGTAGTGAGGTGCTGGGGGTGTCCCAGGTGTCCCTGATGGGACAGCAGGGTGGGGATGTGATGACATTTGTGGTCAGGAAAAGAGACCTGGGTGTATGGGGGTGGGTCAGAGCGGTGCCCGGCGCTGGGACCCCTGGTCTCAGGGAGGGTCAGGAAGAGGGTGGCATTCAGCGCATCCAGCCCCAGCCCCACCCATCCTGCTCTGGGCATGGGGCCCCTGCCCAGAGCAGCCCAGAGGGTGGGGTCCTTCTACTCCCCTCTGCTGTCATCTCCACAGCTCCACCTGGACCGGGTCTCGCCGCCTGTCCCGGGTGACACACCAGGGCTTCCTCCATGTCACCCCCCACCATCTGGGAGCCTACCTCCAGTCTCTGTGTGGTCTGACTCCACCTGCCTCCAGCCCCTCTTCTGCCCCCACAACTGCACTCTGACCACTCGGGCCTCCTTGTGTTCGTGAAACTGACCAGGGCCCTTGTGGGCGGTGCTCCCACTGCTGCCTAGAACGTTCCCTCCCGTACCGCCCCTCCCCCTTCACTCAGCCTTTGGAGCCCTGAGAGGCCTGACCATTGCCTGAATGGGGTCCCATGGCCACACCCAGCTGCAGAGGAAGCCGGGAGGGCAGGGAACAGGGTTGTCATGACAGGACCAGACAAATCACCAGGGACGTGCACTGCCCCCAGCAAAGCCGGAGGAAAAGAGACGGGCACTGGGAGGACAGCAGTGTGTGTGCCCATCGCCCCAAATGCTGGGGGTGGGGCTCAGAGCCCTTGAGCGGACCGGGACGTGCTGCTGAAGCCCCACCACGTTGACCGCAGCCAGGGCAGCAGAGGCTGGTGCTGGTGCCCCAGGAGCGTGGAGGGTGGAGCGGCTCCCACTCGTGAATCTCGGACCTCCGACCGCCTGTTCTCGGCCTCCAGGAAGCGTGTTGCTTCAGTCCCACCGCACCTCTGCCTGATGTGAGCTCTCCCTGACCTCCCCTGTGAGTGCTGAGCGTGGATCTGTTAAAGAGGTGACGTGCATTTATAGATGGTCTAATGTCAAGCCAAACTTGCATTCCTGTAGTGAGCCGTGCTGAGTCAGAGTGCGAGCCAGCTACCTTCTGTCGGCCTCTCCAGATTTATTCCCCACCTTGCCCTGTGCCCCGTAGGCTGATCTTGATGGGCTGTGTCAGTGGGCTCCTGCGCCCTTTGGGGGAGCCCCAGCAGGAGGTCAGAGGAGGGAGGAGTGTGAGGTTGGGGTGCTGATTGCCCTGGCTTCCTCTTCAGGGGTCGCCTCAGTGTTATAGGTTGGATTGTGTCCTCCCCAAGCTCGTATATTGGAGTCCTAACCCCTGGGACCTCAGAATGTGACCTGATGTGGAAAGAGGATCTTTAGAGAGCGTGGGGCCTGATCCGATATGACTGCGTTCCCCTAAGAAGGGGAAATTTGGACACAGAGACATGCATAGAAGGAAGATGATGTGAAGAGACACAGGGGGGGAGATGGCCCCTCAACAAGGCAAGGACAGAGCCTGGAGCAGGTTCTCAACCATCAGAAGGACCCAGCCCTGCTGGCCTCCAGAATGGTGAGACAGTTTCTGTTGGTTAAGCCCCCGGTCTGTGGTGCTTTGTGACGGTACCCCAGCAAGGGATACACCCAGATCCCTTAACTGATCCTCCCAAGATGTAAATGACGCCCCTTCATGGTTCAGGGAACCCCCCACCTCAGGTCTAGAGGTGGTTCCATGGCTCTCTCACTGGCCCGGGGCTACACAGTCACGTACTGTGCCCCTTATGTACAAAGGTGTGGTTCCTTCCAAGAGCACACCTTTGTGAATAATCCCTCCTTGAATTGTCCTAATGTACTGTCAGCTGCTGGGATCCTGGCTTACACACTCTGTCATACTTGTTATAAGCTTTTTTTGGATTGACTTAAAGTTTATTTAGGATTTTACATTTACGTTCCTGAGTGACATTGGTCTGTAATTTTCCTCTCGTATACTCTTGGAATGACTGTCTTATACTCTTGGAATGGCTATACTGATCTCAGAGAATGAGTTCAGGAATGTCCCTTCTTTCCTGATCCACTGGAGGGCTGCAGAAAGCTGGAATGATCTGTGTTTCGAAAGTTTGCTAGAATCCCCTATAAAATCCCCTGGGCCCAGTGTTTTCTTTAGAGGACGCTACTTAACTACTGAATCATTTTTTAATACTCTGGGACTTGTTGAGAACGCTGTTTCTCCTTGAGCTAGTTTTAGGAAGTTACACTTTCGTGGGTGTATCTGTTTCCATTTCCACATCTATTGCCGTAAAGCTGTTCGTGCTGTTCGCTTGGCATTTCACCTCACAGGTCAGTAGTTACTGTCTGTCAGCACTTGGGTGGTGTTCCGCTGTCTGCTGTCACTCCTGCTGAGAAATCTGCTTTAAGTCAAACTGTTGTTCTCTTGACGTGACTCTGCCTCCCCCCAACCCCGCCCGGCAGCCTTCGTGCCTTTTGTCTTTGTTGTGCTGCGGCCTCACCACAACACGTGCGAGCGAGCGGGGGGCCTCTCCCCGACTCATCCTGCCTGCTGTGTGCGGACTCCTGTTCAGCTTGGACGTTTGCTGGTGCCCTTGGCCGTGGCGACTCGCCGGGGTCCAGGCTCCTTCTCTGCAGAGCTTCCAGACATTGTGTATCAGAATGCTGCTGCGATGACACAGATGACATCCAAACGCAGTGACGTACAAGCAGCCACGTACGGAGCTCACGACGCTGGGTGGGCTGGTAACGTGGCCTTGCTTGGTGGGGTGCTTCTCGCCGCCTGGGCTGGCTCCGCCACATACCTGGGTCGTCAGTGGGTCTTAGGCGGTTCTGCCCCCGGGGGCTGACTGGCTCTTGGCTGGGGCTGTGGGGTGACGGGGCCACATGTCTTCTGTCATCCGGCAGGCTAGCCTGGGCCCGTTCACATGGTGGTGGCCGGGTTCCAAAGAAAGAGTGGACTTGAGCTGCTCAAATTCCGGGGTAGAGAGGCAGGTTCCACCTCTCGGTGGGCGGAGGTCACATTTCGAGGGGTGTGGGTGCAGGTGAGGGGCATTTGCAGCCATTTATTCAATCTTCCACACTGTCTGTACCAGTCTGCTCGGGCTGCCTTAACAGAAGGCCACAGACTGCAGGGCTCACACAACAGAAATTTCTCGTGGTTCTGGAGGCAGACGAACAAGATGAAGATCCAGTAAAGGTTGATCTCTGGGGAGGCCTATCCTCCAGGCCTGCAGACGGCCGCTGTCCTGCTGTGTCCTCACGTGGCCTTGCCCTGTGTGTGCTGAGAGAGAGAGAGAGAGCTCTGGTGTTTCTCCCTGTGTTTTAAGGCCACAGTCCTATGGGATTAGAGCCCCACCCTTATGACCTCATTTAACCTTAATTACCTCCTTAAAGATCCTATCTCCAGGGACTTCCCTGGTGGTCCAGTGGTTAAGACTCTGCACTTCGATCCCTGGTCAGGCAACTAGATGCCGGACGTCACAACTAAAAGATCCCGCGTGCCACAAGTAAGACCTGGTGCAGCCAAGTAAATAAATAAATAGATATTTAAATATTAAAAAAAAAAAAAATCTCATCTCCAAATACAGTCATATTGGGGGTTAGGGCTTCAACAGATGCATTAGGGGGGACACAATTGGGTCCGTAACACCCCATCTCGCCATGCAGTGGATGAGGAGGGTGGCAGACGTGCAGGGCTGGGAGGTGGCGGTCATCACCTCCTCCCACTCTGCTGGCCAGAGCCCCTTCATGTGGCCCCACCTGACTGAGGGGAGCTGGGAATTGTGAAGGAGTGACACAGGGCATCGCTCGGGTGGACACAGGCATAGAGTTTGCCACGATCAGCTGGCGTGTGTCCTCCAGCCTCACTGAGCACCTGGAGATACAAGACAAGGCGGCCTGGCCCTGGTCCCCATCATTCCCTTGTGTTTGTAAAACCCGTGATCATTTTGAGAGACCCTCACATCCATTATCTCACTTAGGGGCTCATCATAATAACGTCAGGCTGGAAGAGGAAACAGGCCAGAAAAGTCGTGTGATGGTTAAAGTTCATCTGGGTGGCGAACGGCAGGTGCAGTGTCTGATGGCAGGTCCCTCGGCTGCAGAGCCACTGATGGGGTGACACTGCCCTGGGGCCATGGAGTCTGGCAGTGGTGGCAGTGTCCTTGGCAGTGATGTCCAGCAGCAGTGCCCGTGGCTCTGTGGCCAGCCGGTGGTACAGCTCTGACCCACGGTCGGGGGGCTTCTTGGAAGGCGGCTGTGGAGTCCGGCAGGGCAGTGGCACAGGGCGGGCGTGGCGTCCAGTCTCAGGAGTGTGGCCGTGCTCCCCTGGCGCCCTATCTCCTGCAACTCCCGCTGGATCCCCACCTCCCCTGCGTTCTGCTCAACGCCTGACATTCTTCCAGCAAATTCCTTCCTGCTTCAGTGGCCAGAGTCAGCTTCTGCCACTTGCAACCAGCAACTCTGGCTGCAACAGCTGGGGAAACTGTCTTAGTCTGCTCAGGCCGCTATAACAAGAACACTGTAAAAACACTTAAAAAACAGATGCATTTCTCACAGGTCTGGAGGCCGGAAGTCAGCGATCAGGATGCCAGGCTGGGGTCGGGTGAGAGCCCTCTTCCAGGCGTGCAGATGTCTGCTTTCTGGCTGTGTCCTCAGAGGTGGGTGAGGAGAAGGAACTTGTCCCTCATGTGTCTTCTTATAAGGACAGTGATCCAGTCCTGGGGACCCCACCCTCGTGACCTCATCACCTCCCAAAGGCCTCACTTCTATCATACCATCCCCTTGGGGGTTGGGCTTCAACGTGAATTTGGGGGGTGGGGACACAGACATTCGGTCCACAGCAGGAACTTAGGAGAGAGAGGCCAGGAGCCCACCCAGGGTCTGGGAGTGGGAGCGAGGCAGGCAGATCATCCCACCTCTAAGTAGCCAGCGTGGGGCGGGGGGAGCCGTCTGTCCCCATGGCGGCCCGCATTCTCTCGGGCCAGAGTCGGAGCAGGTGCAGCTGCCAGGCACGGCAGGAGCCTGGGTCGGGTCCAGCGCTCGGGAATGCAGCAGGGCACTGACCCTCCCTGCAGGGATGACCAAGTGCCAGGCGCCTGGGGTGGCGGATGTGTTGGTGGCCACAGCCCCCAGCGCCACCGGGCTCCACGCCGGCTGTCCTGGGCCAGCCCCTGGGGGCCTGAGATGTGTGGGGAGCGTGAATGGGGCTCTGTAGTCGGGCAACTGCTCTGCAGAAGGCGGCTGCTGGCTGCACAGGTGCCGCTGGAGGTGGTGCTGGAGGAGGGGACACAGGAGACACAGAGCTGCATCCTGGGCCTGGTGTGACGCCGCTCTGCATTACGCCCTGGCAAGACATCCCCAGGGCACGCCCTGGCAAGACATCCCCAGGGCATCTGAATGAGGGTGGTGCCCACCAGGGACCTGCCTTCTCAGCTCCCCAGGGACAGTGAGGAGGGGGAGTGGGTGCCCAGAGAGGAAGGACCTGGCCCTCTCTGTGCCCAGCATGGTGGCTGGTGAGCTGGGACTCCAGCCCAGGGCTCTGCCTGCTCCCACGGATCCTGTGCCCTGCTTGGGGCTCAGCCAACGTGGGTCAGTCCTGGAGGCGCCCGCAGCTCTGAGCGTTAGTTCCTCCTCCGTGAGAGGCAAGACCTGGATGGGATGAAGATGCGCACACTTGTTCCCGCCCAGGTGGATTTCAGGGTAACAGGACACCCCTGAGCCTCCCCTCTCCTCCGGCGGGACATCAGCTCCCTTAGGGTGGGACCTCGGGACATCAGCTCCCTTAGGGTGGGACCTCGAGTAGGGTTCATTGCTTCTGCTCGCTCTTCTAGGGAGCTGCCCCATCTCTGCCCCTGGCCCCTCGCCTTGTTGGTTGCTCCTGAAGGCGTGAACGTCAGAGGTTGTCTTAGAGATAGATGGGGGCTGAAGTCTGAGATGTCGACCTGCCAGGTCCCCCAACCACCTGGGTTCCCAAAGAACAGCGGGCAGCTGGACTGGAGCTACAGGGTGGAGAAGGGGAAATCCGGAAAGTCAGAGCTCCCCCACTGCAAAGGGGACTCTCGGGGGCCTTTATAGAGCAGCAGAGAACCTCTGTGCCATCCTTGCCCGGAGGGATAGCTCTCAGCCCCGGCGCGGGGGGTGGGGTGGGGAGCGGGAACTAGACAGGGAGACCGCGGCATTGTGGTCCCACTCACTACTGGGCAGCAACCTGCCCGGGGATGCGGGGCAATGTCTCGGCCAGGGTCGACCCACGGTCATTCTGTGGTCAGCGGTGTCTGGTGACAGCTCGGGGTGGTGGGAGGGACAGGTGCCAGAGGGCGAAGCCAGCTCGGTTGAGGCGCACTTTAAAATTGGCCCAAGCGCTTGGACGCGCGGACGCCCCCTTCCCCTTTGCTTTTGGAGGGGAGCTCGCACCCCCCACCCCCCGCCCCGGGGTGAGCAGTGCCGGAGCGCCAGCGGCCGAGCCCCGCAGTGTGCCTGGCTCCGGAGGGCGCTCAGGTGGCTTCAGGTGCCGCGGAGCGCAGCGCCGGGGCGGGGCGCGGGTAGGGCAGAGCGGGCTGGGCGCGCACCTCGCCCCGCCCGCGCGCCGCCCCGCCCGCCCCGCCGGCCGGCGCCGGGCCCTCTGGACTGGGCGGCCACGGGGCGGCGGGTAGAGGCGCGGCGGGCGCGCGGGAACCATGACAGAAGATGACCGAGGCTTCGCTGGTGGAGGGCCAGGTCAAGCTGCGGGACGGCAAGAAGGTCGGGGCGCGCGGCGGGCGCGGGGCGCGGGGCGCGGGGCGGCCGGCGCGGGCCGCGGGGCGCGGGGCTGGCGCTCACGCTCCCTCTGTCCCCGCAGTGGAAGAGTAGGTGGCTGGTGCTGCGCAAGCCGTCTCCGGTGGCAGGTGAGCGGGCGCGGGCGCGGGCACGGGGCGCGGGGCGCGGAGCGCGGGGCGGGCGGCTGCGGCCTCCTGCGCCCGGCCGGCCCGGAGCGCGGCCAGCTCGCCCGAAATAGCCGGCGGCGCCGGGGCCGAGGGCTGTAACCGGAGAGCGCTCCGGGTCTCGCTTCGGCCTACGCCTGCCGCGGACGCCGGGACGCGGGACCCTCCCGCGACCGCACCGGGCCCGGGAGCCGTCATCTCAGACTCCAGGCCCGGGGCGGGGACCCCCTTGGCAGAAGGGCGGATTGAGGCTCGGAGGGGCCTGCGGGAGCCGGTGGAGGCCTGAGGGGCAGAAGGGCAGGAGCCTGTCCTGGCCCCCTCCCCCATCACGCAGCAGGGAGCATCCCAGAAAGTTCTGCCCCAGTTGGGGATTGAGTCGTGTCTTTGAATCCAAACGCGGATGGGTGTTCCGGGCAGCGCTGACCCCGGGCGGCCCTTCCAACCCTCGCAGGTGGAGCCGAGGCTGGGCCGCCAGGTAGGAACGGAGAAAAGCGAGATGTCCCTTGTGTGTGGATCTGCCCCGGGAGGAGGGGACGGCCCCTCCCAGCCCCCTGGGCGGAGCCGGCGCCCCAGCCGGGAGGAGCCGGCTGCGAGCCCCGGAGCCGGGCATCTCCAGCTCAGCGGCCAGAGGCTCTGAGCTGTGCAGCTGCAGCTGTTTCCGGAGACAGGTGCCTTGGAGCCGGCCCAGGCTCCCGGGGGTCTGCGTGGGATGCTGGGGGTGTGAGCGCGCGCTGCCTCACACGTGCCGGGCTGCCCGAGAGTCTTCCGGGACGCCTGCGGTGTCTGCCATTTCCCAGGCAGGGTGTGGAGGGCCCCCTCCCTGTGCCCCTCCCGGGTCCCCTCCTCCATCCCTTCTGCTGAGCCGGCTCTGGGAGCCTCGTGGTTGCGGTTGCGATAGACGGGTCTGCTTTCGGCAGCGGACACGCTCAGCTCCTGCCTGGGCCTCAGCTTCCCCTCCAAGGGGGCCTGGGCTCCGTGCACCCTTCGTTCAGCCGATCAGTCTTTCGTGCCCAGCCCCTGCGTCTGGAGCTGTGGGGTCCTAGTCCTGGGGAGCTCAGGGACGCCTGGTAGGGGTGGGGGAGGGTCAGAGCTGGGGAGAGGGCGGCCCCAGCCTGCAGGGAATGGAAGGCACCGGCCAGCTGAGGGTGGCAGAGGCGGGGGTGAAGGCCGTGCTCATCCAAGAGGCTATGGCCCGAGGCAGGGGGCTGGCTGTTGGTTGGGGGTTGCTTGCCGGGACGGTGGTGAGCCAGGACCTGTGCGGGCCTCTGGGACAGGTGGCCCACCCGAAGAGCAGTCCCGGCGTGGGCCTTGTCCCTCTTGGTAGCGGGGGTAGTGATTTGCAGCTCCTCGTGGTGGATTTTATGCCAGTATCCGAGAGCGCTAGTTGAGAGGTGAGCTCTGGCCGGCCCTGGAGGACACCTGTGGAAGGGGCCCTCGTGCACTGCAGGGGAGCTTGCAGTGGGTCCTCAACACCGCAGACCCTGAGTCTGTAAGTGAGCTGTGGTCATCGGGCCTTTCCTGGGTCTTACCACGTGCAGCCGGGCGGTAGAGAGCCGGGGCGTAGGGGAGGAGCCTCCTCTGCTGGGCCGCCAGGGCTGGACTGGAGGGGAAGTCGCGAAGAGGGGGAAGGCGCTCGGGCAGGACTGGGCTGGGGACTGGGGGCGGGGAGGGAATTAGGGGTGGTGGAAGGTACACGCGGCCCCTCTGGGCTGCTGTCCACTCTGAGCCCTGCATCCCACGTCCTGGTCCCCAGGGTCTCAGAACCCCCGCTGTCACTGCCGGTTATCTTAGCAGCGCCCCCCTTATCCTCACACTGCACGAGGGCCGCGGTCATCCTCTTGCGGGTGCTTGGCCTGAGGCGGAGTTGCCAAGCTGACCCCGCCGGGCCACTGCCCGGCTCTCAGCAGCCCTCCCCCTCTCTCCCTCCCGGTCGGTGCCAGTGGCCATGGTTCCCCGACGGGTCAGAGGCTCCAGACCCTCCTCGTTCTCCCCTCCCTGGCCCTTAACTGATGAGCTGGCTCCTCTCTAGTGTGTTGGGGGGCCTGGCTGGGAGGGGTGCAGCCACCTGGCCCCCCTTATCCTGAAGACCAGCTCCCTCGGGTGGCCTTGGGTGTTGGGGGCAGGTCCTCGTACTTGGGGTCCCCACAGCTAAACTCCCCAGATCCTGGCTGCAGCCAAGGGGGAGCCTGGAAGGAGAGAGGAGGGGCCTCCCTGCCTTCTCGTCATGAAAACCCAGGGCTCTTGTTTTTGAAAAGTATTTCCTTCCCAGGAGGGCCCACAAGGAGAGGTTAGGAGGGAATCAGGGGCTGCAGGCAGGTGGGGGTAGGAGGGCCCCTCTCCGCTTTGGGTCTTTTCTCCTGCTTTTGCTTTTCTGAACCGGGACCACTTACTCTTCTTACAAGAAAGTTTAGTTAGTGGAAGGAAGGAAAAGCTTTGATTTTTTTTTTT